TCATTTCCCAGCATCAATTGTTTACAAAATACGAATTCTATATTGTGAATAATAATAATAGACCTATTGTTAATATTTTCATTTTATATTCTTAAATAGATTTACAAGAAATAATGTTTAATGCGACTCTGGATGTAATGTGTGGAACGCCGCAACCACTTGTTATAGACTCGTATAAAGAGCTAGGTCTTGTAAAAGGTTCTTCGGATAAGGTTTTTCCAGGCTGTTTTCGAGTTAACCGCTGCCGTCACTCGGGTTGCTGCGCAGATGGGTTTGTGTGCAAAGCAAAACATTCGGCCTTAGTTGAAAAAAGGGTAAGATTTGTTTAAAATAAAATGTTGGTTGATGTATCGTTAAAATAAACTTTATAAAATGCATTAATGTATAGAATAGATTTTGCTGGGGTTTTTTTTCTGTACAGCGCATAGAGACTACGTACCGAAAAATCTTCTTTTTTTTTTCTTCTTTTTTTTTTTTTTGTCGAACTTTGGATGGACTTCTTTTCGAGATGGACTTCCTTGTTCGAGGCCACTTTTACAAAGTAAAGAGTTGGGGTGGGGGGGCGGCTTCTTTTCAAAATGAATACTGCAAATTTTGGAAATTAGTACTATAAAACAATAAGGGCCACTGTAACATCAATCTGTCTCATGGAGTGTATTAACCGGCATTAAATTACCTAAACTATTGCATAAACCGTGCATGTTTTACTATATTTTGTTTTTTGAAATTCATGTATGGTGTGTGTACTGTACTGTGCTGCCTTTGCAAACTGAAGAGGTGGGCTTCGATCTCGAGATTCAGCCCAATGGGCTTCAATTTGAGGTGTTACGGTTATTCGCTATCTCCAACCATTACCATTAATATAAGGCACAGGTGAGCAAAGTGCGGCCCGACAGCGATTTTTTGCGGCCCGCGAAAATGAATTAAAAAAACCCTATGTGTGCAGCCCGCCAAGCAACATTCGCCAAAAAACACCTTGTTTTTTTTGTTTTTTTGTTTTTTTTTTTTTTGTTTTACGAACGACATCGATCATAATTATGTACTAAGTAACAATAAAATTGAGAACTTTTGGTGTAAAAGCATGTGCTCGGAGGTTTTGAAACTCACTGGAAACATCAAAATTTGGGTGTGGCCCTCGGTGTTAAATCAAAAATTCACTTTGACCCTCCTACCGATTTGTATGCCCACCCCTGATATAAGTGCTTTATGGTTGAATATAGCGACATGCCTACATCCAGTAATAGTTTGATTAATGATTTTTGTCTTCAATAAGGCCTACTCACCGTACCGTTACCGCCACTCAGTTTACTGAAGTGGCGTTGAAGGCTGTTTCTAACCCTTTAATAACCGCCTCACCCCCTCGTCTATCCTTTTAAAACCGTGCGGTACTTTCAGCTTCGGCGACGTGGGCAGGGAGATCATTCTATCCGTTTACCACCCTTTGTGAAAAAAAGTGCTACCCACAGTTTAGTCGATCATAAGGCTTTTTAAATTTCCAACTATGATCCCTAGTAACCGAACCAACTGCCAATTTGAAAAAAAAAAAATTTAGTTGCACGTCTGTGGACCTAACAAATTTATATCTTTTTCGATTAGTTTTTGCTCTATGAAACGAACACTCAGCAAGTACAACTGAAGTATCATAGTGTAGTCAGCCATTCAAATTGCTCCTGCGTTAGACTCATTAGTTGCAGAAAGCAAACTTGCGAGGTTACACAAGTGTGGAATAAGGATACCTGTTCGTGTGAATGCGCCAGCAGGTGTCCTGATCAGTACATACAAGACCGTAACACATGCCTGTGTGAATGTGCACTTGATGATCGCCAATGCTTACAAATATCAAAAGGAATAATCAAACTACCGAAAGACCAATGCAGGTAAGTTAATCCGCGATAGAGAGAGAGACAAACGTAGATAAAGTGCCTTGCCCAGGGACACAATCGACTTGCAGAGCGAGAGTTTCAAACCAGTAACCTCAAGGTTGGGAGTGCAAGCCACAACCGATGCGACAACCGCACATCACACCCATTATAAGGAAAAATGGTTGCCACATAAAGCTTGATAGTATGAGCATCCTTCTACATAGAGCCTTAAAGTATTGGCTGTTATATAGTAGTAAAATGCCTGTAAATCAGTGAAAACTACCCTATGTTTTTTTCTTTTTATCTGTTTCATCTTAGTTTATCTGTTTCATCTTAGATGTTAAGCCGGGCACTCACTGTGTGCACGACGGTCGTACTCGGGTGACGCGATTCTCTACAAAGAACGCAACGCGACGACGCGTGCGCAACGGATCGTTTTTAATAACGATGATGAGTTCAGGCTGCTACCAACAATCAGCAGACGGCGTCGCGTCGTCTATCGCTCACAGAGAGCGGAGTTGGATTCGTCGTGCGACGGTCGATCGACGCAGTGAGTGCCCGGCTTTTGTAGGGAGCCTTCGATTTGCAAACGACGCGACGCTAGAACGGAATCACTCATTCGTGACCGTCCTACCGGGCGTCCTACGTTCTTCTATTTTATACGTATAGGCCTAGATTTGGTCAAATTGAGCCCTATACCCTAGGGTTTGTTTCTACTGACTTTCACAAAATAATAGAGTTTCTACTCGCCGAGGAGAAACATAACGTTCCCGCATGCGCAGAAGACTTTTAGTGACATCATTATGTTCTACATCCTCCGCCGTCGTGCAACCGAAAGCTCCTAACGTATTTAATCCTTTTAAATGACCTCCTATAAATTGAATTTTTTAGGTTTTTCGAATTTTGTTTACATGCATAGGCCTACACGTCTCCCTTCAATTAGTTTCGGTTATTAGCAGCTTTGGTCTCTAATTAGAATAATAAAGATAATATTGTTAATATGGGACCACAGGAAGGGGTTATTAATTGGAGGTCCTTAATTGGAGGCTACCGTATTTAATAAGAGGGAGACATGTATTTTTAATATGTATATATGTTGTTATATTATTATTATCGCATACTAGTGTAGTATTAACTACCGTGTTATGGCGTCGTTCTATTTAATGTTACAGAGCATTGGATTGGAACGCAATAGAATTTGTACCATGTGAAAAAGGTAAAACGTTCTACAAAGATTGTTGTAAATGTTTGAAGAAACCGTGCGAGAAAGCTAGAGCAAGTATTCAACGCAAGGTACAAACATCTTCCGGCCCACCTTCTGACAAAACGCCGGTTGTCGGCGATACACCCCTTCTCTCATCTAGTTTTTCTGTAAGCATTATTTCTAAAATAGACGAAGCGTCATTTGACTCTCAGAAAAACCTTAATAAATACAAATTAATGAGTCAATCGAATATGGACGAGCATTCTTCAAGTGAAGATAGTTCCGAAGAATAACGAGTTCTGAAGATTAACAATAATGATCGGTAAGGACAGGTTATAAACACTTCCAAATATTGACAAAGGCCACCACTATGGCGCCGATAAGCTTCTTCTTCTCGTATCACCACTTCTTCTCGTATTATAATTTAAATTTGGGTTTAATTCTATAATTGAGTATTTAGGTTTTGTTATCAAATTTTTATGTCCATTGTACAATGTAGCTTGTTATCAAAATGTTACTACTATGTTTCAAGTTCTCCCCAATTATAATTTTATACCGTAATCATTAAACTTTAATTTACATCATCAACGATTTTCAAATAGCAATTCTATTTTCGTTTTACTATCGTACTCGCGCAAATAAGCGCCCTGTCTGAATAATTGCCCCTCTCGAATAAGCACCGTAACACCTGTTCTAATGAGAATAACAATAAAATATTTTGGTCAATTTTGTCAATGTAGCGTAAAAAAATCCTTAATATATCGTGATTTTTTTTAGCAAGCCAATCCTGGGACTGTGGTTGTTGGCATGATTTGAGCTGCAGAGTGGAATACCATTCGTCTTAGATCAATATCAAAGATAGGATATTTCTCCTGGACAGATGAGAGATACGGTATATTTCCAACTTTCCACTTCCTACATTTGTCTAGGGTATAGTCCTACTTTTCTTTTTCCGACAATTTGCAACTTTAGCACATTCTCTCAATGATCCTGCGAATCTCAAACTGGCCAACAGGAACCACTACCACCACTAATTTCATCTGCTGTTCTGTGCTATGCTTTTCTAACCACCATTCGTGGTAGGCCTGTCAAAGGTCCTATCATCGTAAATAGACGTTTATAAAGAAATGCCTGTGTCTTCATTGTTTTATTTATTCATTTCAACAATTGTATTAAAAAACCCTGTTTCTCAAAGTGTTTCATTACACAAAAGGTAGAATACTATCTCTCGATAAAGCGCCGCGGCGCTTATTCGAGAGAAAATCACGTTAGGTGCGGCGCTTATTCGAGAGCGGCGTTTATTCGAGCATTTACGGTAGTTGTATAGTAAGTGGCTAAGATTCCGGCCTCCTACCAGGATCCGGGGCTCATTCTGTGACGGTAGGAATTTTTGTAACGACTGTAAAAAACTGCTGTATGCCCATAGTCCATGATATCACAGGTTATTGTCAAATAATGTGATAGTGTGGACAGAGCTTTAGTTAATATAGTAACGTCCATTCGTACTTTGAACTGCGCATGCCTGTATCAAGGTCAATCGATATTAACAAACATACGCAAAACACTGGTCTATGTCGATTGACCTTGGATATGGACATGCGCAGTACATACACACAACATAGGTTTACGTCGATTGACCATGGATATAGACATGCGCAGTACATACACACAACATAGGTTTACGTCGATTGACCATGGATATAGACATGCGCAGTACATACACACAACATAGGTTTACGTCGATTGACCTTGGATATGGGCATGCGCAGTACATACACACAACACTGGTCTATGTCGATTGACCATGGATATGGGCATGCGCAGTACATACGCACAACACTGGTCTATGTCGATTGACCTTGGATATGGGCATGCGCAGTACATACACACAACATAGGTTTACGTCGATTGACCTTGGATATGGACATGCGCAGTACATACACACAACACAGGTTTACGTCGATTGACCATGGATATGGGCATGCGCAGTTAAAACAAAGAATTGGCTTATTATCCATAAGATAGAAATTGCTTGCTCACTCGTTTACAATAAATAACAATTATGTACTTTATTTGAGTTATCTCTTTTCCTTAGTCTGACCTCATGAAAATTCATAATATTCTGTGCATCACAATTTCAGACAGATAATGAATCATTGTTATTATTTACTGGACCAATCAAATGCAAATTTAAGGATTGGATAATACAAAGAAATAAAATATAAAATTTCTTAGCAAGTCGAGGTTTCGATCCTCGGACCTCTGGGTTATGGGTTCTGCACGCTTCCGCTGCGCCACTCTGCTTCTTATACAAGTCAATTCAGAAAATCGCATTCACTTCTTGAAAGGATACGTTGTGGTTTAACAATAAATATAAATAAAATTCTTTACAGAGCAAGGTTTTCATGCAGAGCAGAGCACGCTTCCGCTGCGCCACCTCTGTTTCTTATACAAGCTCCAGCTTCAGAAAATTGAAATTCACTTTTTAAACGCTATAAGTTTAACGCTATCTCATTGACGGTCCTGACCCCCACCCCCGGGCAAAAAAAATATATATAAATAAAAAAAAGAAATCTAGACCTTTTTTATTTCCCACAATAGAAGTTGGGAAAGTACATTTCCTGCCATTTAGGTATCAACATTTTTTCAGGGAAGGACCCAGTGACGTATGGAGTGCGCGGGGTGACCCACGCCCCTCTAAAAACTACTTGTCCCCACCACAGTCGCACCCCCCCCCCACAGCACCCCCCGCCCCCTCCCCCAAGTAGAAAAAAAACACCTAAAACCACTTTATTTTGCAAATTAGCACCCCTCAGTCGATCATCGAACCCCCTTCCCACTTCACCTTCGCCCCCCACCCTCCATTTCAAGAATTATGATACGCCACTTGGAGGACCGCCGGACCCCTTTCTTTCTGGTGTTTATCGATTCATGAAAAAAGAATAGGCCTATTTATGCATATAGGCCTACTCAATTTTATGTATATACACACATAGTTGGGCCTATTTACTGTAATAAGAATGAGATTAACTTACCGTTTTTTAGAGGGGGAAACCTTAAATTTTGAAGGACTTTTCATTAAAAGACACCTCGGAAGTTGGGAAAACATTTCTTGCCATCTAGGAATCAACATTTTCTTATGGAGGAACCCCGGACCCCCTTTAATTCTGCTTCTTACACAAAGGTCTTTCACAAAATCAAAATTACTTTTTGATCGATAAGTAACGCTATTTACTTATAATAAACAAAATAGAAAATTTTTTAATAGAGCGAGGTTTACGATCCTCGGATCGACGTGTTATGGGCCCACCACCCTTCCACTGCACCATACGGCCCTTCAGAAAATAGAAATTCACTTTTTAAACGATATAAATTTAACCATATTTATTTATATTAAAAAAGAAAAATTCTAGCAGAACGAGGTTTCGATCAACGGACCTCTGGGACAGCACGCTTTTGGTGCGCCACTTTGCGTCTTACTCAAGCTATTTAAAAAATCGGATTAACTTTTTAAACGATGTAAGTTTAACGCTATTTTTTTTTAAATAAAATTCTTAGTAGGTCAGGGCTTTGACACTCTCACCTCTGGGTTATCTCATTAAGATTATCGATATTACTTTTTTAACGATTTAAGTTTAACGCTATTTATTTATATGAAAGAAATTAAAAAATTTCTAGCACAGTAAGGTTTCGATCCTCGCACCTCTGGGTTATTGGCCAGCACGCTTCCGCTACGCTACTCTGCTGCTTCCACAAAGCACTTAAAAAAAATCGAGGCTCGCTTTTTAAACGATTTAAGTTTAACGCTCTTCATTTATATAAAAAAAATGAATAGAAGAAGTTCTAGCAGAGCGAGGTTTCGATCCTCGGACCTCTGGGTTATGGGCCCAGCACGCTTCCGCTGCGCCACTCTGCTCCTCACACGAATTTGTTCC